GTCTGTGTCGTATCGGGTCAGTCTGTGTCGTATCGGGTCAGTCTGGGCTGTAGCGGGTCAGTCTGGGTGTGCCCATACCAGGCAGTAACGGTCATGCGACCTGTGCAGGTGTTTGAGGCGGTTCTGGCGTGGGTTCATCACGATCCGGACCAGAGGAAGACTCTGCTGCCGGAGCTGCTGTCAAAGATCCGACTTCCTCTCTGCCAGCCTCAGTTCCTGTCGGAGCGCGTCCAGCAAGAGGAGCTGATTCGCTGCTGCCACAAGTGCAGGTGAGACTGATCACACCTTAGGCCACACCCCCCAGGGATCCGCCAGAAGGTTCTGCAGTCTGATCCGTGTTCTGATCCGTTTCCTGTCAGAGACCTGGTGGACGAAGCCAAAGATTTCCACCTGGTTCTGGAGCGCCGTCCTCACCTGGCCTCCTTCAAAACCCGTCAGAGGTGCTGCACCTCCATCTCAGGTCTGATCTACGCGGTGGGAGGACTGAACAGCTCAGGTAGCGTCTCACCTGGTCCCTGAGGTCCACGCCTCAGTCCAGCACCTCTGACCCCCTGGGTTCTGTTCCAGGTGACTCTCTGAACTTGGTGGAGGTCTTTGACCCGGTGGGGAACTTCTGGGAGCGCTGCCAGCCAATGAGGACGGCTCGGAGCCGAGTGGGCGTGGCTGTGGTCAACGGGCTGCTGTACGCCATCGGCGGCTACGACGGCCAATCACGGCTCAGCACAGTGGAGGTGTATAACCCGGAGACGGACAGCTGGACGCAGGTGTCCAGCATGAACAGCCAGCGCAGGTGAGTGGTCCAGATGATTCCATTCAGACGGCGTGGATCCGTTCGCCGCCCGGCCGATAGATTAACCACTTCAGATTAACCACCTGAGCTGCTCTGCTAGATCAGTCACACCAGATGCTGACGGCGGCGCAGTATTAGCTAGAGACCGATACCTGAGGGAAGTTGCCCCCCCCACCTTCTTCTAATCAGGATAGTGTCAAACGTTTGAGCAGCAAAAACACGCTAACTGACCTCTGATGACCTCTACAAAATATTATTAATATCATTATAATGACAGCAATACAAATGAAAATGTTTGCCATACTAAAATATAAAATTAATTTTAAATATAAAATATTTAATATAAATATATAAAAAATTTAAAAATGCATATTTTAAAATATGTACATTTTTTGTACTGATATCATTTAAATGATATTAATAATTGTTTGTAGAAGCCATCAAAGATCAGTGAACAAATGATAGCGGCACAAACAAAAAATCTTGCTGCACAAACGTTTGACACCGATTTTGTCTAATCTGAAGAGAGGGGGGGGGGCTGGTTGACCTTTGATGACCTCTAGAAACATTTCTTTATACAGCGGGGGAGATAACTATTGACCCCTCGCTGATTCTGCAGGTTTGCCCACTAACAAAGAATGCAACAATCTATAATTTAATCATCTGTACATTCTAACAGTGAGACAGAATCCCAAAGAAAATTCCAGAAATTCACATCATATGAATTTATTAAAATTGAAACCATCTGATGAGGAAAAACAAGTATTTGACCCCCTGGACAAACAGCGTGTTAATATTTTGTAGAAAAGCCATTATTGGCCAGCACATGTTTTTATAGTTGGTGAAAAGG